AAAAATAATAAACTTATTTATAATAAAAAAATCAATAAATGTGACAATTAAATGATAAATTATATTCCTTAAAAGACAACCCCTACATTACTCTTTATCCATTTCAAAATTTAAATTTGAAACAAATAATTTAGAAAATATGTGGGTGGAGTAGGTGATTATTGGAGTAACTTAAATGATACGGTGGTAATAATCTCTCTTTCAATTACAGTATAAAGTGGAAGTTTGCATGAAGTCTTTCTATAGAGATAGGTGCAATGTAGTTCCTCCCCCCCCCCCCCCCCCCCTTTTTTCTTTTTTTTTTTTATGTGTGTAACACAATCTTGTTTTCTTTTGATTTTCATACCTGCAAATATGACAAATGAATTACTGTATTAGATGAAGATGGGTTTTATGCATTGATGAAAATTATTGATGAAAACTTACCAAGAAGAAAAAATGTACGGTCCAAATAGAAACGTACCAAGTCAGGCACCTGGTAGGGGACACACAACAAACTGTCCAGGTCGTACTAAAGCATGTGGGCTTGAAATTAAGGATGCTCCACGTAAATTGGGTCCTGGTCTCGAAGGACAAGTATGTACCAATTTGGTCATTTTATTGACAAGACTCATTTTGTTTCCAATTGTTTTACAGTATGTGGCCTCCTTTTTTTTCTTTTTTCTTTTTTTTCCTTAATTTTTTCTGGAAATAGGCAATGGGTATGTGTGGCCTATTTCGGACCAAGAGGATAAGATACATATCCAAACTCTCAAAATATATGGCACCATGAAATGCCACGGGTGTTATTTAACTTCAGTTATAAAAAAATGTTATTGGTGTTTTTTTTTTTTATTAACCTTTTAGTATTTGATACTTGTATTAGATTTTAATTAATTTAAAATTAAATTGAATCAAACTTCATTATAAAAAAACTCTATCAATACTTTATTTTTTATTTATAAAACTTAAATTTAAGATTTTAGTTAAAAATAATCTAATTCTTTTTACTATAATCAACAAGTGGTTGATAATGGTATTGGTGTTTGATCTATTACATTGACCATTCTGCATGTTTGTAGGGAAGCAAATGGTGTGGCCATACAATCTCCAAGTATGGCGTTTTTATGGAAGATATTTTTGTTTCTCTTGATTCAGCTTTTTTATTTTTATTTTTTCAATAGTTATAATGGGATTGTGTATCGGATCATAATTTATAGAACTTAATTAATTAATGAAATTTTCATTTGCACCCAAAAATAGAAATGTTTTGGGTGTTGTCCCATGGAGACTCAAATCAACCATCTTATCTTTCATTTAATTGGTGAATGAAAACATATTGGGCAAGTAA